AAAGAGTTCGTATCCTCCATATACAAAGAACTCTTGAAACTTGAGGGAGAAAGGTCAAAAAAGCCAATAAAAAAAAGGCAAAGGATGTGAACAGACAATTCACACATTTAAAAAGCATATTGAGGGGCGCCTGGGTGGCTCAGTGGGTTGAGCCGCTGCCTTCGGCTCGGGTCATGATCTCGGGGTCCTGGGATCGAGCCCCGCATCGGGCTCTCTGCTCGGCGGGGAGCCTGCTTCCTCCTCTCTCTCTGCCTGCCTCTCTGCCTGCTTGTGATCTCTCTCTGTCAAATGGATGAATAAAATCTTTAAAAAAAATAATAAATAAGTAAATAAAAAATAAAAAGCATATTGACATGGCCCTTCGATATGTAAAAAGTGTAATCTCACTCATAGTTGGAGAAATGTAAATTAAAACGACCCCAGGAGGATAGATTGACAGATTGTGAAATATCTGTACTATGGGATTCTATTCATCAGTAAAAAGGGGAAAAGTACTGATATACACAGCAAGTTGGATGAATCTTTTTTTAAAGATTTTATTTATTTATTTGACAGACAGAGATCACAAGTAGGCAGAGAGGCAGGCAGAGAGAGAGAGAAGGAAGCAGGGTCCCCGCTGTGCAGAGAGCCCGATGCAGGGCTCGATCCCAGGACCCTGGGATCATGACCTGAGCTGAAGGCAGAGGCTCAACCCACTGAGCCACTCAGGCACCCCAAGTTGGATGAATCTTAAAGGCATTATGCTGAGTGAAAGGCACCAGGTACATGAGTACATACTGTCTCATTCCATTTGTATAAAACTCTGAAAAAGACAAATATAATCTATAGTGACAAAAAGCAAATTAGTGGTTGCCTGAGGTATGGGGGGGTGTTGGGAAGGGGTGCAACAGAACCTGTTGCGGGTGGTGAAAATGGTCTATATACTGATTGTGGTAGTCGTTACAAGGTTATATACATTTGTCAAAACTCACTGAACTGTACCCTTAAGTATATATATTGTTAAACAAACAAACAACAGCTCCAAAATGGAGTTGCTTATGCACATCACCAAGGGAAGACTTAATTACAGTTTTGGCTCTCCCAGATATGAACTTTTACACCAGTCAATCAAGAATCATCTGCTCATGGGGCACCTGGGTGGCTCAGTGGGTTAAGCCTCTGCCTTCAGCTCAGGTCATGATCTCAGGGTCCTGGGATCGAGGCGCATCGGGCTCTCTGCTCAGCAGAGAGCCAGCTTCCTCCTCTCCCTCTGCCTGCCTCTCTGCCTACTTAGGATCTCTCTCTCTCTGTCAAATAAATAAATAAAATCCTTAAAAAAAAAAAAAAAAGGAAGCACCCGCTTGGCACTAGTTTGGTGGTCTTTCTGACAAACTTCTGCCATCCCCTAAAGGAAAGTAACCTTGCAATAACCAACTTGGGCTTTCTGCTTGGAAAATTTCCTTATTCCTGCTCCCTTCTGGCCATAAATGTCATTTTGTACAGCTTCTCAGGGCTCTTTTCCATCTGCTAGATTAGATACTGCCTAATTCAGATATGTTTTGCTCAAATAAACTCCTAAAATTTTTAATATGCCTACAGTTTATCTTTTAACTATATATATGGGGGGAGAGGGAGAGCATCTCAATAAATTCATGAAATTACAAAAGGTAAAAAGCTGGCTGAAAACACTTTCCCAAAGCAGGCAAATTATTTACCCCTATGAAAATGAGGGCAAAAAACCTTCAATAAGATATCATTTCTGGGGCGCCTGGGTGGCTCAGTGGGTTAAGCTGCTGCCTTCAGCTCAGGTCGTGATCTCAGGGTCCTGGGATCGAGCCCCGCATCGGGCTCTCTGCTCAGCGGGGAGCCTGCTCCCCCCCCCCTGCCTGCCTCTGCCTACTTGTGATCTCTCTCTCTTTGTCAAATAAATAAATAAAATATTAAAAAAAAGATATCATTTCTTACCTCTCAGATTGGAGAAAAAATCTTTAAAGGTTTTACGTATTTATCTGATGGAGGCAGAGAGAGAGAGAGAAGGAGCACACAAGCAGGGGGAGTAGGAGAGGGAGAAGCAGGCTCTCTACTGAGCAGGGAGCCCGATGTGGGGCTCAATCCCAGGACCTTGGGACCATGACCAGAGCTGAAAGCAGACGCTTAGCCAACTGAGCCAGCCAGGTGCCCCTGGATCAGAGAAAATTTTAAAAAATGACAGCACAGTCTCTTGGAAAGGCTGTGGGAAACAGGTTGTCAAATACATCACTAGTGGGAATGAAATGGGAACAGCCCTTTGGGGAAGAAATTTGGAGATACCCAACAAAACTATATCTGCACTTTTTGATGCAGCAATCCTATTTCTATGTATTGACCCTAAATATATGCCTCAGATAACACAAAATTACATATACATACAAGGGCAATCTTTTTGGCATTGTTTATAATTGCAAAGTATCGGAAACAACCTACATGGGCAAACACAGGCGAGTGGTTAAATTATGATACATCTACAAAATGGGGTACCATGTAGCTGCAAGAGAGACAAGATATAGTGTCAAACGACAAATGCAAAGCACGCTACCCTTCATGCACGAAAAATAAGATAATATACATATATCTGTTCATTTGAGCAAAAAGAAACACAGAAAGGCTAAACCAGAAAATAAGTAGACTGGTTACCTCCACAACGGTGGGGAGGGGCAAAATGGAATTCTAATAGAAACAAAGGAATCTGACGGTATTTCAAATAAATCACACAGCCTAATGGAAGGGGGCGAGGAGGAGGAGAACTAACCCAAGTAGTTCTTGAACACAGTATTTTGACTATCATCAGATTAAAGACAAAAGGAAATGCATCAAATAGTGAAGCTTGTTAAACCCCGTATTTTGACTATTAGACTGTTAGACTATTAGATTATTTGACTTTAGACTGCCATGAGCCTAAAGACGAGAGACTGTAAAACAACTATATTGACCTCTAGTTGGTAGGTTTGTTTTCTGCAGTCTTATGATTTAGCAATTCTGGTTACCTAATGGGTATTATATGATTGCACAAATAAGCAAATTTGTTGTGGATAATGAGAGTCCAGGTTTCTTTTCACTGAAGAAGGGATTTACAAATATGGAAAGTGAGACAACTAGAATGAACCTTGCATTGGTGGGTTGACATGTAAGGTATTAGTAATGAATTTATGTTTTCAAAATATAGATACCTATAGCAAAATATGTAAATAGATATGTATGGCTAGATGGAGAACACATACATGTATTTCCTAGCTTAGTACACTGGGAGGGCCTAGAAACAATTACACCTCAATAGCAATACACACTTTGTCAACCGGCACTGAAAATAAGGTCAGACTGCACTCAGCCATCAAAAAAAAAATGAAATCTTACCATTTGCCACGACCTGGATGGAACTGGAGGGTATTATGTTAAGTGAAATAAGTCAAAGAAAGACAATTATTATTTGATTTCACCCATACGTGGAATTTAAGAAACAAACCAGAGGACCACAGGGGAACGGAGGGAAAAGTAAAATAAGGCAAAATCAGAGAGGTAGACAAACCATAAGAGGCTCTTAACTCTAGGAAACAAGCTGAGGGTTGCAGGAGGGGAGGGGGGGGGGGGGCTGGGGTAACTGGGGGATGGACATTAAGGAGGGCACTTGGTGTGATATGAACTGTTGAATCACTAAACTCTACCTCTGAAACTAATAATACACTACATGTTAATTAATTGAATTTAAATTTTAAAAAAATAAGGTGAGTCTGGAGCATCTTATAATGCCAACAAGAAAGTGCAAAACAAAAACAAAAACAAAACGATGGGGGCATGCCAAGGGGACAGGGAAGTCAACTTGAAGGAGCTCCGGCTGGCCAAATCTGGGACAGTTTGAGCACCAAAGGAAATAATGATAGTGATTATAATTCATTGAACAAAATAAGTCTGTACAGATATACATACATAAATGGGGGAGAAGAGAAAGCTCTTCCTTAGTGTAGAATAGCAACTAATAAATACCAAAGGAATGTTGGTGTTAGAAAATCATCACTGAATACTGAAGCCAATGGTTCAGAAATTTTGCATAGAAAGAACGCTAAGGCAAAGGTGGTGAAACGTAAACAATGGACGAATCTGGGTAAGGGTACCTGGAATTTCCTTGTACCATTCTTGCTTTGGGGTACATTTAAAATGATATAAAAATTAAGTTACCGTCCCCCACCAAAGAAAGATAAAATAGAGAGTATGCTAGTATTGATAATGTCTCTAAACATGCTTTCTAATGTTTCTTTTTCCCAGATAAAAACTACTGCTTGGTCGTGGGGTTTGTATAGGGAGCCAGAAAGCACAAGAGAGGCTTATAATGCATTTTACTACTTATTTAGATGTTCCTGGGGTTTCGCCATCCTGTTTTTGTTTTTGTTTTGTTTTGTTTTATACGAAGCTTTTTCTTTTGATTCACTGCCGTTCTTTCCTTTTGGGTAGTTTACATCTATTTCTGGCTAGGCCCTTTACCTAACAGGATGTACGGCGTTTGTTAAGAAAATCAGCATCAAATCTTACCAAAAGAAAAAAAAAAAAAGCCAAGGGCTTCACCAGAAGCGGGATTTCCCTCTGGGGTCACTCGGAGGAGGGCGGGAACAATACCAGCGCGCAAAGCTTCCGCTTTCATTTCTAGGGTTATAAGTCAACCATTCTCATTAAAGGAGTACGGCGGAAGGGTTATTTTCTGTCGGCAAACCCTTCCCTAGCGACGAGTCCACCGATGACATAGGGATGCCACAGTGTCGCATCACAATGGGTGGTCTATGAGACCTCAAAAGCCAGATCAGACGACCTAGTTTGCAGTAAAACATTAAATTGCAGTTCACCTGATCTGTCAGTTTCACTCTCTTCTCTCCGTCTCCAAAATACTGAACTTCCCGCGTAGACTCCTCCCCCTCCATTCCTGGCCAGTGGTTTGATCCGATCGTAATACTGACAGGAGGGACGAACTGCATCTGCGCAGAAGGCTGTAGGGGGGGGTGGGGGGGAGGAACATGGCGCAAGCTCTGTCTGAGGAGGAGTTTCAGCGGATGCAGGTGCCGCTCGCCGCGAAAAGACCACCGCGCTAGGCGACGGGGGGCGGGGCAGAGAGAGGTCGTGCCACCGGCTCTGAGAAGGGTTTGGTTATGGTGGACCTTGGGTCTAAGGGGTTGGTCTGGGGAAGGGAAACTGAGGCTCTGAGGGGTGAGACTCTTGGGTTCGGAGATACTGTTGGGTTCTGAGGGGTTGGCGTCTGTTAGCTTTGTGGGCAGAGGAGAGAGTCCTAGAGTGGGCGATACCTCACTCACACCTGGAGGGGACGAGACCTTTGGCCCGTGCGGGGGACACCATGGGCCGGTGATGATAACATTGGGTTTTGAGAGGAGATCCTGAGAGGGCGAAACCATTTTGTCTGGAGAGGAAGGAAACAGGCATTGGGCCATTTGCGTCATGGTGGGGGGAGCCCTTGAGAGGGCAGTACCATTCATTATCCGGTGGAAGGTGGGAATGTTTGTGGGAGATACCACTATGCCAGGGAATTGGGCAAAGACCCCACATGTTGTCATTGTTCTGGAGGTGGAGATCCTGTGTGGGTGCTGGTAGTGGATCCTAAGAGGGGGCGCAACCTTTGGATCTAGGTTAGGGGTGATCCCATTAAGCCTGGGGTGAAGAGGACCCCGAATGGATAATACCATTAATTCCTGTTGGAGAGAGGACCAGAAAAGGTTAAAGAGTGATAGCTTGGACCACACAGAGGAAATCATTGGATTTTGGAGAGGTACCCCAGTTGGGTACCCTGACCGCTCGAATTCTTTTGTGGACAACTCTGAGTTGGGATGCAAGGCGAGAGTAGGCCCTTGTTGAGAGAGTTCCTTACTGGGGAAGACCATTGGATTTTGTGTTTGGGGAGACTCTGAAAGGGGGAAGCCCTGAGTAGGATCCTGTGGGAGGAGAGGGGAACTCTGAGGGTAGGTGATCCATTGATACTTGAATGAGATAAACCAGTTGTTCCTGTGTGAGGAATGCTTAGGGTGAAAGGGTGAGATCCGGGAGGGTGAAAGGGGGAGTTACAACCTGTAACTTGTGAGGGGAGATTCCTAAGTGAGTAAGAGTAATCCAGTTGGCCCACCCAAGGTTTTGTGGAGGAGAGACCCTGAAGGATGTAGGGCCATCCCGTTGGATTGTGACTGGGGAGTTCTTGAGGGGTGTGGGGGACTCTTGAGTGAGGAAGATTGATTTAATTGGGCCATGAGTGAGGGAAGAACCATTTGGCTCTGACGGAGCTTCTGTGTTGGTGCCAAGGGTGTACAAACTGGATCAAGACGGGAATACAGATCATTGGATCTGGTAGAGTAACAGGGGCAGGAAAGATTCTGTAGGGGCCAAGCCCTTTGACCTTAAGCAGACCACCAGGGGGGTGAAGGCTGGTGCCATGGGAGGAGGGAAAGATCTTGGTGGGAGAAGGGATAGTAAGTCTGGGAAGAACTGGCCTCACTGCCTTACAGGGCTGTTAGGAAGAGGTATGCTGTTTGGAGTGGCCCATACTTCACTTTCCCTTAATTCTTTAAAGGGGTAAATGCTAAAGAGCCTTGGGGGTGAGGACCCCAGGCAGCTCCCAACTTAGTGTAAGTTGGACAGGAGAATACCAGGCCCTCTTCCCTTGAAAAGAGGGAGGAGTACAGGCCCCCGCCCCCTATGCTCAGGGCCCTCCAAGTCTGGCCAGGCGGATAGACAATACTCTCCTATGACAGAAAGACCAGTATTTAGTGTCTGATGAAGTCAGCCAGGATTAGGGGGGAGAACTTTATCCTGTAGGCATGGGGAGCCCTGGGATACGTGTGAGCAAGAACTTGACTGCATCAGTGCTCTGTCTATGGCCTTGAATGCAGAGGGATGGAAGAGTGATGCTGGCTCTGTTTCTAAGTAGAGCTGGAGAAGGTGGGACAGGGGCTGAGGAGCTGGAGGCTCATTTAGGATGTAGCGTGCATAGGTCTTAAGGAGTGACTAGAGAGGCATAGAGAGGGCAGTAGGGTCTGTGGGGCTCCGGGGATTAGTTCCCTCATGGTGAAATTAGGGGCACATTCCTAACCTAGTTGTTTCCCTTCTCTGCTTCCCCCAAGGCTCAGCTCCTGGAACTCCGGACAAATAATTACCAGCTTTCAGATGAATTACGCAAGAATGGCGTTGGTGAGCTAAGAGGGTCTCATTAGGTGGGGGTGGCTTTGAGGGACAGAGGCCTGACAGGAAGACCTTTCAACTTCCTGCCACTGACTGAGGCTGAGACTCCCTGCTTTCCCCACACCAGAGCTCACCAGTCTTCGACAGAAGGTCACCTACCTGGATAAGGAGTTCAACAAAGCTCAGAAGGTACCTCCCTCCACCCACTCACCCACGTTGCTTCCCTGTAACCATCTGACTCATTCATCTATCCAGGGAGCACCTACAGGGAACCAGGCCAAACATTATATGCTGTCATCAGTCATTCAAAAAACTCTAATGGAAGTCTCTTTAGTTTGCTAATTTTGTCTAATCCTGCTTAGGTATTGATTAATATTAATTTGCTCTTTTTTGTAAAGATTTTATTTATTTATATATTTATTTGACTGAGACAGTGAGAGCAGGAACACAAGCAGGGGGATAGGAGAGGGAGAAACAGGCTTCCCGCTGAGCGGGGAGCCTGATGTGGGGCTCGATCCCAGGACCCTGAGCCAAAGGCAGACGCTTAACCGACTGAGCCACCCAGGCGCCCCTTAATTTACTCTTAATGAATTTACAGTTTCAATTACTCAGTCTCATTCACTAACTTCTAACAAAATAGTCACATCCATAGGTGAATCTGCCTTGAATCTGCCTTCTGTCTTCCATTCACACTCGGGCCTTGTGCTCCCACTTTCCATTTGTGTCCTGGTCCTGTTGGTAACATGAGACTAGACCTACCTCTCAGATCATCTGAAGATGAAATAGTGTATAACCTGTTATGGCCCCTCAAGGCATTCAAGGCCCTCTTTAGTCTTTTTCTTCACTGCTCTTTCCCCACGCGTAGCTCAATGTTATGCACTCCATAAATATTTGTTAGACGAAAGCATACATAATGCAGAAAATCTGGCAATCAGGAAGCTGGGCTTCTCTTTGGTATGGTGCTGATTGCAGAACGTGGCAGTGCCCTCAGCTGCCCAACAAGGGAGCAGCAATTTTCATGGTGCATGGGAGGGATCCACGTAGATATGTTTGGACCCACGTAGCAATGCAGCCACTATTTTTGAGCCTGGAAACCCAGCCCTTGAAGGGTTAAATACTAAGACTCATGAACAATCTCAAGAGCTAAGAGGAGGGCTTTTGAGCGGGGTGCCCTTCACTCACTCACTCCATCATTCCCGTGGACTACAAATTTCATGCAAGTTCTGTGATTGAAGATGCTCCCATCCCCCAACCCGTCGTCATTATCCCCCCTTGACACTTGCCACAGTGTCTCCATAAACTAGTGAGGGAGTCCATCTCCATTCACCTTCTCTCTCTTCCTACCCCCCTTACCTTTAGGCACTGAGCAAGAGCAAGAAAGCTCAGGTAAGGGGACCCATGGTGAGTGAGTGTGTCTGGGAAACCGAGGGGTGATATTTCTGTATGCTGAGATCTCCTGGTACTGGCCTTTCTTTCTCTGTGTGTGCACTTGAATCTGTGACTGCCTCATTGTCATATGTTTGTATGTCTGTCTTTATTTTCCTGTGTTTGTCTCACTCTGGACCTCTCCATCGTTCCTTCTCCCTCTCTGGCTGGCCTTCTCTCTGAGTCTCTCTCTACCTATCTTCCTGTTCCTCTCTGACTGTTGCTTCTCTCCCCAACCTTCCATTTTTCTCTCCCTTACCTGTGCCATCATTTCTCTTTTCTTCTTTCCCTTTCTCTCTCTGTCTGACTCCTTGTTTCTTTCTCCCCCTCCTTTCCTTTGTCGCTTCCTCATTTCTTTCCCTGACCCCCTCTCTTGCTTCTGTTCTCCCTCCCACTGATCTCTCTGTGCCTATCTCTTTCTTCCTGCCTTTTCTTTTTTTCTCTCTTCCTCTCCATCCCTCTCTCCTTCCCTATGTCTTCTTTTCCCCATCTCTCTACCTGTTCTCTCACCTATTCTATCTACCATTCTTTTCCTCCCACTCTCTCCTCTCATGTCCCTCTCTCCCCTCCCCTGTCCCTCTCTCCCCTCCCATGTCTGTCTGTCTCCTTCCCTGTATCTGATTTCACCCATGTCATTCTCTTTATCCTATGATTTCCCCCCACCCACCCCCGTCATTTTCTTCCTCTGTGTTTCTTTGCCATACCTCTCTGTCCTTTTCTACCCTTGTTGGAGACCTGGCCCATATCTGCCACTGCAGGAAGTCGAAGGGCTACTGAGTGAAAATGAGATGCTGCAGGCAAAGCTGCACAGCCAGGAGGAGGACTTTCGTTTGCAGAACAGCACGCTTATGGCGGAGTTCAGCAAGGTACTGGTGCCGGGGACAGCTGAGCGGGATCTGAGGGGTAGGGGCCTCCTGGACTGAAGCTGGAGGGCTGCTGAAGGTGGTTGGACAGAGGCTGGCCCTGGATCACTGTCCATGGTGCTGAAACAGATCCTGGATCTGAGCTGGGGGGCAGTGATTTGACAAATGGGGCCACTCCCTGTGCTGGCATTAGAAGTCTGCAAGCCCTGAGGACAACTGGTTCCAGACCAAATCACCCTTTTCTTCAAGCTTCCAGTCCCTTTGTATATATTTGGTAGCTGATGCTAGGGAGTTCCAGGTTACTAGAGGGTCTTAGTTAAAGTTCTTATGCTTAGCATGAAATAGAAAAATGTTCTAGCTGCTTCCCTTTTCTCTTCCTTCCTCTTCATCTGACCTGATCCTGGAGTTCTACTTCTTCTAGATAATTCATCCCAGGTTGGATAATTCTATCTCCTCACAGATTTTAGTGTTCTGGCTGTTCCTAAACCTACTAGAGAGTTAGAGATATTAGCTTTTGTTTCCTTATCTATCTTCTGTGTCCATGGTCAGGAAGGCTCTAAGGGGGACACCTGGGTGGCTTACTTGGTTAAGCATCTGCTTTCAGCTCAGGTCATGATCCCAGGGTCCTGGGATCGAGTCCCACATCTGCCTCCTAGCTCAGCAGGGAGCTTGCTCCTCCCCCTGCCTGCCACTCCCCCTGCTTATGCTCTCTTTCTCTGACAAATAAATAATCTTTAAAAAAAAAAGAAGAGGTGTCTAAGGTTTTAGTGTGTTTTAAGGAACCAATTCTCATGGCAACAAAAATGGTATTTCCAGGACTCCATGTGAGAATCTAGTTCTTAAGACCTTAAAAAACAAAATATGAAAACAACCTTTAAACAGGTACAATGTCAGGAGAGATGATTTGCCAACTAATAGTTAAGAGCTGTAAGGCCTAGATTAAACTCTTAGCTCTACCTTTTGCTAACTGTAACCTTGAGCAAGTCACTTGACCTGTTTGCTTCTTGGTTCCCAGATGTTTAAATCAGAAGTGATCATGACAGCACCTGCCTTGTAGGGATTTTTGTGAGGATTGAATGGACTTGTGTCTGTAAATGACTTATAACAGCCTTGTACATAGTATTGTTTATGTAGGTGTTAGCTACTTTAAAAAAAATTTATTTATTTATTTATTTGAGAGAGAAAGAGGTAGAATGAGTGGGAGGGGCAGAGGGAAAAGCAGACTCCCCGGAGAGCAGGGAGCCCAATGCAGGACTCGATCCCAGGACCCCAGGATCGTGACTAAGCCAAAAGCAGACACTTAACCAACTGAGCTACCCAGGTGCCCAAGGTGTTAGCTAGTGATAATACCGTATTATTATTACTGATTGATTTTCCCGCTAAAATATTTTTTGACTATTTAAAAGTCTTAGAGCCATCCTGTGGCCCTGCTCTGCCTCAGCCCTTACTACCACTTACCTGCCCTATTCCCATAGCCTTCTTGCTGGTCTCTTCACTTCTAGTTTCTCCTACCAGCCCATGCCCTAGAGGTTCTCCTGACTTGCAGACCTTATCACATCACTCCTTTAAGTAGCAGCTCTGAGTGGGTCCTTGACCCTGACTGTTCAGAACCCCTGGTGCTCAAATAATAGCCAACCTCATTTCCTCACTTCTCACTGCTTCCTGCCTCCAGCCTCAGTGGTATCGTGGTCCCTTTAGGGTGAGGCAGGGGCAGGCATTCTTCCATCAATCCAACTTGTGTTTCTCAGCACCTGCCCTGGACCAGGTATAGAATCTCCTTCCCACTCCCCTCTCCCTCCCCCGGGAACTGGTAGTGCTCACAGACAGCTGGGTTCAAGGCCTGCCTCCACCACTTACTTGCCAAGATACTTCAGCTCCATTTTTCCTCCAACAAATAGTTATTGAGCACCCCCAGCATGCTCTGCAGTCTGGAGATAGTTGGAAGCAGCACAACCTGGGCCCCACTCTTGGGTAGCCTACCTTCTGGATGTGGGATGGGGAGAAAGAGAATGTTTTCTTTTTTTTAAGATTTTATTTATTTATTTGACAGAGATCACAAGTAGGCAGAGAG